TTTTTTTTTTTTTTTTTGGGGGGGAAACAAAATTTATTGATGAATTATCTAGTACAAGTGGTATTAAATTCTTAGATCTCATTTCAACGTATCCATAAGATGAAGATGTATTATGGTTAACCAGTTAATTAAGCTAATTTTTTTTTTTTGGGGGGGGGAAACAAAATTTATTGATGAATTATCTAGTACAAGTGGTATTAAATTCTTAGATCTCATTTCAACGTATCCATAAGATGAAGATGTATTATGGTTAACCAGTTAATTAAGCTAATTTTTTTTTTTTGGGGGGGGGAAACAAAATTTATTGATGAATTATCTAGTACAAGTGGTATAACAAAAATAAATTAATAAGCGCACTTGGAAAAAGCATCTTTTGTTTGGCAATAGCTTTTTAGCTAAAAAAAAAAAGTACAAAAAGACAAAATAAGTTAAAATTGTCGCATCTAAATTATAATCATTTCATTTTTTTTCTCACAAAAGTCAAAAAAATTAAAAAAATCAAACCAAACAAACTTTTAATCTTAAGATAAAATAGTTAAAAAGTCAAAAAAAGTCAATTGCCAAATGTCAACTTAAGAAGCACATACCAACTCGGTTAGCACAGCATTAATCCAAACAAATGCAAGATTTAAAACAAACAAAACTAGATAACTGACCAGCTTAGCATCCTTCCTAGCTCTAGGATTAAAAAATAAAAAATAAATAAAAATCTTTTCCTAGATAACAATGCTTGTTTCTTGGTGAATTGAAGGGGTCTATCCCAAATAGTAATGTTATGGAGTCCAAAAAAAAAGACTTCAAAAGTTGCCTGAAAATTAAGTGCAGGAATTAGATTCATATGTGGTGTGACGTACATCCAGAATTACACCACACTTTATTTTCTAGCAATTTTGAAAAATATCTTTTCAGATTAACTAAAATTTTCCAATCATAAATGTGCACGAGATACCCTGTTCACAAATTGCTCTATTTTTCTGTTTCAAAATACTAAAAACCATCAAATACATCTTTCACAAAAGGTTGAACTGAAATTTAATGACACAACTATTTTTTTTAACCTACTAAATGACAGTGGAGTTGAACTGTTCGAAGCGAACCTTGCACAATGGTTGCTCAAATTACAGATCATAATAAAGATTGACTAAACAAAAATAATTGAAACTGCCATTGGGCAATGGCATGGCAGTCCAGTTTCCTCACTCTCTCTAGTTCTAAAAGCGTAGGAGTGAGTGAGTGAGTGAGTGAGTGACAATACCAATGTGAACAGGTCACAAGCCGTTTTAGAGATTAGACTTTTGTAGATCATCACATTTGGCATCTCTGACATAAGGAGGACTGACTAACTGAGCTTCCTCCATCAATCTGTGTTGACTTGACTCTCACACCATACTTGATCATCAACAGGACACGTCTGTCCTCTCCATGCACGTGTGACTGATAATGTACATGTCTCAATACTGACCATTGGATTGGAGTCAGGGAAGGACCACACTGTTCATTCAATTATCACAAGACTCAGCAGCTGAAAAATAGGGTCTTTCAGGATGATCTAGCATTATCTGTCATCTGTGGTGGTCTTTTAAACCAGTCATGTAACAAATATTTTGAAGTGTTTTTGGAAAGATAATTAAAAGTTAATTTTTTTTTGACTTTTTTAATTTTTTTAATGGAGAAGTGATGTGATTCAAAATGGGTTAAAAATTGACTTTTAGCTTTTAATCTATGTTTCCAAATGACCCCTTTATTAACTGACGTTTATTAAGATAACAAAAAATGATTTACATTGATTATATTTGAATTATGAATTTAAATAAAAATTTATAAAAATGTTAACACCATAAATCTGCAATTTTTATTATTATTTATTATTTATATAATTGCAGGACACGTGGCATCCTCTTATTCATTTGGAAGTTAAAAGAAGTTATAGAGATAATGGAGAATATGAAGGACAAAGTGGATGAGTGGGAGGACAAAGTGGATGAGTGGAATGACACATGGCAAGACAAGAATGAAGATGGAAGAAATGGGTAGTTACTAAGTAGTTATTGCTGTATTTTTTCTTCTATAAATAGCCATTAATGGCTACATTGTAAAAGATCCAGAATTCATAATCAAAGATAATTGATTTCAATATTTCTTGTTATTTTCCTTATCTTAGGAGTAGTTTAACATAGATTTATATTTCGAAGCATTTATTTTCAGCATTTCCATTTCGAAGCATTTTATGCACTTTCTTTTCGAAGCATAGGAGTAGAGGTAAGTAATTATTACTTTGATTGTTCACTCAATCATCTTTCTCCGTTCCCCATTCTTCTTTTAATTTTTCTTTTCTTTACACTTGGCAATCTTGAAGTCCTCTTCGTTGAGGCAAAAGAACCGTCAACACAATCGCTTGATAATTGGCTTGAATTTAATCTGTAAGGATTTTTCAATCCTTGCTGGCACGCTCGCATTTATGATATTTTCCTTCGTAGGAAAAATAAGCCAACATTTTAGCCAACAAAAAATAAAAATAAAAACAATGGATTAAACTTTTCTCTTTTTTTTTTTTCATTTCTCTTTTTAAATATCTACTCAAATTTATGATCTAAATACAGTCTTAATATGTAATAGTGCATGAGTATGTATTAAATTTTTCTCTAAATGATTATTTCACTTCGACAATGTATTCTGAGAGTATAACATAAATAAGGTCACAAGCTATGGGAGCGTGTATAATTTTTTAAGGATAAATTATATTTATAATCCGGTAATTTATTACCAAGTTTTAACACTCAACCGACAAGGAGGGGAAAATGAGGACATTCTTTTCACAATCATGCAAAAGCATTATTAGCACATAAAATGTGCAACAAAGAGGTACAGTACAGACACAACATATGGCTCACAAATTAACATTGACTTTTGTCCATTGTTTTGGACAAAATCATCACAAACTTTAAACTTTACACCAACACACAAAAATAAAAATAAAAATAAACATAAACTATTCCCTCTATACCCGTGATCTGCATGGCTTTCCATACTCAATGTAGTGTATAGGGGGCATGTACGTAAGTATGTAAACATTTGTATCAATACATTTATGGGCATGTGGTGGTGGATGGGCGGTGGGAGGTGATGGTAAGTATTTAAATCCCCGCCATGCATTCTGGTGGAGTAACCGGGTATCGTGATTTATCAGCACAGTAGTCATAGATCATGTGGTTCATGCGAACCCACCTGTAGCCTCTAGCTTCGGCCGGACTGAGCTGTTGATAAGCAGCTCCTTCCCACCAGTTTGCCGGGTTTGAGGCACAAGTTGTGGGTCCCGGCACTGAACATCCTTCGATGTCGAAGTCCTTGTAGTAGGCATAGAATGGGGCTTTGCTCCAATCAATCTTTTCTAGCCCACCTCTCGTCGCCCAGTCATCGGCTTCCCAAAGTGTCGAGTACACTCCCATGGGTTGGACCTTTGGGTATGGGATTCCTCTTGCTTCGTTGTTCTTGTACACTCTGATGGGTACTTGATCCACATAAAATCTACAATGCCCATTACCCACAAATTACTAGCAACACAAAATTGTAATATAGATACTTTTGTTTCTTTCAGTATTTGATTTCTATGTCAGTATATCAAGACTCTTGGTACTATTACTTCGCGACAATGAAAAAAATAAAACAAACAATCAAACAAAAGAAAAGTCTCTTCATTTGAGGTTAAGAGGGGCAACTGTGATAGTGATACTAGTACCCTGGTACTATATTACAAAACAAAATGCTTGAGGCCTCTAAAGTTAGGACGCTCATAATCTCGTATTTTATTTATTTATTTTTCTTTCCTTCCTAAACCAAGTAGAGGTTGTGGAGTCATATTTTTTTGAGAGTTTGTAGTGTTGTTGTTTTAAACCGTGGGTGATTATATTTGCACACTTTCAAATTGAAAGTCTCGAAGTGTGGGAACAAAATAGATTTTTTGATTGGTTCAAGATAGTGGGGTCTATTATTTTAATTGGAGAAATTTTACTATACACGTCTTTACTATATGCATTTGATTAATTTTATTTTTTAATTGTAATAGATTTTTAATTATGTCCTGTGTTGTTTGGTTATGATTGTTTTAAAATTATGATTCAGAAAATATGAAATTATATTATTATTTTTTTTTAGTTATAAAATACATATGATACATATTTTTAAAAAGTGTGTACAATATTCTTTCCCTTTTAATTGGGATAAATACATTTTGGATATAGGATTTGTTCACACACAACAATTTCATTTTCCTCTCTCTTGACGTGTGCCACCTCTTAGTTATTGAAAAAATAATTACATAAATTTTTTAGCAAAAATGACATGGTAGTGGCATTTTTAAAAATTTAAGGGATCTTGATGACTATTCTCTTTATTTATTATTATTTTTTGCCAAAATAAGAATTTCAATTAATATGATAAAACAATACATAATAGTTTATACAACAGAATCATAAACTTGCCACATCATTCTATGTTGAATTTATGTTTTATTTTTTATATCAGTACTATATTATTACTATATTACTATTGTTAGTTTAAATGAAACAGAACCTCCACCTCTGCATAAAATTTGGAACATTGCATTTTGTTATTGATATGTTTTGGATAGTACTTTTTAATCTTCTTTTTATATCAATAATATTTTTTTTTAGATAAAAAAATAATAAAAAAGAACAAAAGGGTGATGTGCCAATTAGATTGATAACTTACACAACATGGTGATGGTTCCATAAAATTGTGTAAGTGTGGAAGTCTGCAGCAGGGTCGAACCATAGGTTGACCCTCTGCTCCCTATCACCCTTCCCGTGCGCATAGACATTGGTTTGGACCGTGTAGGGCTGTCCGGTCCGGTTCCCCAAGAATTCAAAATCCAACTCGTCTCGTACAGTGTCGGTGTCCGAATTCATCTGCCACCCAATTCAAACCAAAATTAACTATAATAAGTTCCCAATTAAGAAAAAAGAAAAAAGAAAAAACGTAATTTTTTTTCTTCAATCTCTACTCCCTAGCATTTGACACATTTCTATGTCCAATTCTTTACTTTTCAGGTGATCAGCTTACATAAAAGGCGGTGACAGTCCCGGCAGAGTCCCCGGGAATGAGCTTGATCTTCATGCTAACCCGTCCATATAAGTATTGGCTCTTGGAGGCAAACCCACAACCTAAGACACATGTGTACAAAAATTACTACTATTTGATCATTCACCCAATTAATTAAAACTCATTAGTCTGATCACAGAATCAGACACAATTTTCAATGCTTGAATTTTTGTGATCGGATTCTGAGCACTTATTGTTAAGAAATGGACAAGAGAACCTTTGGATAGTGATACCTGAATTTTGGTCTAGAACAAGTTGGATGGCCCTCCCTCCATCAATTTGCCTGATATGAGAATCAGACCATGTAATTCTAAAGTCTTGCAGAAAAGTGGCGGGTCGACCGGAAACAGAGAAGGAAAAGGCAAGGAGGTGCATGAAAAGAGAGACAACAATATTTCTCAAGGATGGGTATGCCAATGTGGCCATTTTTGTGTTGTGGATTTGTATTTTGTGTGTATGTATATATGATTTATGAGAAAACAAGTCATGGGCTGCTTGTATATATAGAGATGGAGAGAGAGAGAGGAAGGGAAAGTGAAGATGGGAACTGCTGCATTGAAATGGAAAAGGCCAACAAAAGATTGCTTTTCATACAGCTAATGGCAAGCCGTCACTGGACCCTCCATTTCTCTCTTCTATACCCAACCCTATTATTGTTGTTAATGTTTTCTTTGCACGTTGTGTTTGGTTGCGAGATTTTGAAAGAGATTTAAAAAGAGAAATGAAAAATGTGTGAAGTTAAGTAAGATATAAATATATTTTATTTATATTTTACCTATTTTTTTCTTTTTATTTTCTTAATCATTTTTCAAATTTCTCATTCAAACACAACAATATTGTCTTTTGCCTCTTCTTTCTTTTTAATGTCTACCTTGGGAATTGTGATTGTCATTTATGTATCTATATGTAGCTACCAAGTATTGCACCTTTTTTTTAAGATCAATACATATAATAATTAGATCACTGCTAGCAATAACATTCATCTGTCATACTTTGCGTCTAATAACTATCTCACCAATGTCTACGATTGAAAAAATATGAGACAAAAAATGGTTACAAAAAACGAGACAGATAATTCCAAGTCTGTTAGTAAGTATTATTGTCTGCATCTTTTACCACCTAGTAATCCTATAAATTTAGAAAAATTACTTAAAAAATTATTCAAATATAAATAAATGAATGATCTATATTTATTGTGAGTATAACTCATATTTCATTAATTTTAAATTTACATCATACACTTACTTTCAGAGTAAGATTCAAAATAAAATTTCATAGTGTATTTTTGTTTACTAACTAACTTATTTTGTGTTAATGTTGCTGGCCTTTCACTACGGCTGGAGAAATTACAACCTCAATTAGTTATGCCATGAATTTTCTTACACCTACCATATGTGACACCTTAAATATTTAATTAATATCACAATCAATTACGATAATAATAATGGTAGTGATAGTAAAATAAAATAATTAATTTTATAATAATATGCAATAAGGTGTAATTTAATTAGGAATTTCATGTTATCAAAATCAAGTGATATAAGTAACAAAAGAATATTTTGAGATATATATTGATCTTAATAGTTAAAGATTTGAGATCATTGGTCCAGAACTACGTGTCTTAAAAGGGCTTAGTTATGCCATGAATTTTCTTACACCTACCATATGTGACACCTTAAATATTTAATTAATATCACAATCAATTACGATAATAATAATGGTAGTGATAGTAAAATAAAATAATTAATTTTATAATAATATGCAATAAGGTGTAATTTAATTAGGAATTTCATATTATCAAAATCAAGTGATATAAGTAACAAAAGAACATTTTGAGATATATATTGATCTTAATAGTTAAAGATTTGAGATCATGGTCCAGAACTACGTGTCTTAATAGGGTAATTAAAAGCCACCCCCTGTCACACCTAGTGAACAAGGAGGAGTGAGTCACCAAGAGGGTAATAATGATATAGGGCTGAATCAGCTTGAACTTTGGCTATATAAGTGGTATACTGCGAAGCCATCAAAAAAAAAAACAAACAAACAATGTAGAACGACGGTGCCGCATACAGCTAAGGGGGGAATTAATATTAAGAAGGTAAAGGCTAAGAGTCAGTATTAAGGTGAGTTATATTATATCTTGAGTCACGATAACATATTTTATGTATGTTTTGAGTTATCGTAATTTATTTTATATAAGTTATGTTTTATAACTTATATTTATATTTCAATTACGTTAATTATTTTCTGAATTCCATTTGCTTATATTGAAACCCATGGATATGTCTGTTTCAATTTTAGAAATTATTTGATAATGATTTTGTAAATAATTATTTTCTGTAAGTACCACCACAGGAGTCCCATGTCTTGGGGGACTTAAATAACCATTGGCCTTTGTTTGGTCACTTTATGGTCCTCTGTTTGTTATGGATTTATTGACCTATGTTCTGACTGTCACTCCTGTGACATCTGTTTTGTTTTGTTTTGTACCGTGGTTATCGTTATTTATTTACATAATTTCCATATTTTAATTTCTGCCACTTTGAATAATTTGTTTGTTCAAATTAAGTTATGTAAATGTTTTAGCTTAAGTAATTATCCATGGTTATTTTGTGTTCCCTATAGTCTTGGCATAATATTTCTCATTCTGCTGTGTGCTTATAGTTGTTACCCTTTCAGGTGATGAGATGTAAGGAAGACTCATAATCTTGTATAGTGGAATCCACACAATAATTTGATGATGATTCGTTATTTTGTTTTTTTCTTTTCTTTTCTTCCTTCTATTTTTTTTTTACTGAGGGCTGGTTACTGAATAATAAGATAATAAAATTCTTATAGACGCATTTTCTTTTATCAAAATAGTAGAATGAAGTAAATTTTTTGTTTAATTGTTTTCTCACTTCCATTTTGCCTTCACCTGCGTCATTTAAATTGTTACGATTAGAATTATTTAGTAAATTGTGATTCCAGCCCAAAGCCCCTGGGATTAGGTCGTGACAAAGGTGGCATCAGAGCAATGGTTCATTTAAGTCCTTTTATGTAAAATCTCACGTTTATTCTGATGATGTAGGAATGTCTGAGATTAACCTTGATGAGGCATTTTGGGAGGAGCTCAAGACTATTAATTTGGAGGATAGTTTAGCAGAGCACCCAGCTCCCGCCTCACTGGAAGGATGGTGTTACACCCCAAAATTTGGACAATTAAATATTAAATTATAACTAAACCCCAATTATTATTCCATCATCTAAATCTTAGGGATGAAACAAAAAAACTAAATGCCAGCCAAACCATCCACCATAATTTCATAACTAACCAATACCTCTAACATTAAAGTAACAATACATAGTCAAAATAACTTAAATAATGTACAATCACAAATCATGCCAAATTATCCCAATACTAAAGTTATAAAAAATAAAAATAAATATATAAACTAATATCAACTCTAAACTCAAGAAAACAAAATAAATCCAAACGACAAGTCCAACAACTATAGTTATTCCACGTCATTACCGTAACCCCAACTAATCTTGCAAAGGAAGCTCGGCTGTGTTCAAACAGTACGCACCCAAGTGGTCAAGAGAAGTATATAGGTATATTGGTATGAGTACAAGATTTAACACCCACGTGCCCACGAGATACAAACAAAAATACATTTAATTCTTGTTACAGGATAAGACAAGTAGTTCCATCCGCACTGAGACGAATGGATAGTTTCCCGAGATACAGTGTCATTTAGTTTCTTGCCCGTACACAATGAAATATAAATTGAGTATAAAATAAACAAAATAAAAATAAAAATATGGTAGGTCAGTCCTGAATAAAAAATTAGTAAGACCTACTATCCTGCAAAAAAAAAAATAAAGTTAGTATAATTTAATCATAAGTAACTTGCTAAAGAAGTATCAGAATACACCGTTTCATACTGAAATAATTCGAATTGATCAAAACTCAAAGAACAAAAGTTGTATAGAATCAAATTTCCTAAAAGATAGTGTGGACGAATTTAGTAGAAACTGAACAGGTTGAGAGAAAAACTTAATATAAAATCCTAAACGAAATTCGATCGAAAAATCTGGAATTGAAAACGAAAAGAAACTGTTGTAAGATGATTTTTTTCGAAAAAATTCAAAACACAAAAAGTGTTCAGAATAATGTTTTACTTCAGTTTACATGAAACCAATAAAAATGAATTCGTTTCATGGGTTAAAACAGCAACTAAAGTTTGCAATGCTAAAATGAATCAAAACTATTGTAACTAAGATCATCCGATTATAAGTTCTAATCGATCTTTTTAATAAAAAGTTAAAACACAAAAGTTGTCTAGAATCACGTTTACATGCCTCTACTCAAATTTCATAATTTATCAAAGTCGTTTACTATTTTTCAGTATGTACAAATCAATACAATTCACACTATACTAATAAACTTATAATTAAATTCTTTGTACCTTAACTACACCACTTTGGCCCTTCACTTGCGGCCTACACATATATCCCATGTGCCTCCCGTATATCTAACACTGCTCTGAAGCCAAACTTGCATGGGGATATCGTCCCGAGTTTGACCCACACTCCCCAGATGGTTAGCATATACGTATGCCCGTAAATCAAAGCACTCGTCTACTCTTGAGAACGAGACAACAAAATATATATATAAAACATTTCACTCATGAGAATAAACATAACAATGCCATGCCTAATTCAAATAAATCTCATAATCCTTACTTTTTTTATACATTCTTTCTCATCAACACTCAAATAAAACAACAATCCATGGAGTCATGGTGGAGTGTAAAGAATTTATCTATGGGTTCCTAATTTATTTTAATTTCATATAATTATGAATGTGATTACAATCATAAAATAAATTCATATAAAAACCCTAAACCTGATATACACAACTAATCAAAATAATTAAAATTAATCAATCAACTAAAAACCCTAAACCTTACATACACTACTAAACAAAATAATTAAAACCAATCAATCATCTAAAAATCCTACACCTTACATACACAACTAATTAAAATAATTAAAATCAATCAATCATCTACATGCAAATATGAAATCAATTCAACATCAAATAAATAAAAATAACGAATTAAATATAAATTAAGGGAAGTGGGTTTTGTACTCACAATTATTTTTGAAGATCAAAAAATTATTTGAAGAAGTAATGAAGCCACAAAAACAAAACCCTAATTCTTTTTTTTTCTTCTCCACTCCTCTTTCCCACCATCCCTCTTGATTTCTCACAATGCCTCTCTCTCTCTCTCTCTCTCTCTCTCTCTCTCTCTCTCTCTCTCTCTTTTTCCACCGTTCTCTTTGCCCACGGAACTGCCCTATATAGAGCCCTATTTATTTTTCTTTTGTTTTTGCACTACAAAAAAAAATTAAGATTTAGTAGTGGCCAAAACTGCCGCTAAAAGCAGGAAAAAGTGTCGCTAAAAATTAGAAGACCTTTATCCGCGGTTGAAATAGCGAC